CCATCAGACACTCAGGTTTATCCAGTTCAGGCTGGCACTGACAGAATTCAGAGACAATTAATGGATTTAATATAAATTTAGGCCTAAAAAAAAGAGTTCTATGAGTTAAAATGGTTCCAAACCTAAATTAAATAAAGGAAGAAGAGCAGTTAGAGTAAAAAAAGGCCCTAAAAGTCACTAAAACCTGATGCTATCAGGTAAAAGAGCTAAAAAAAAAATGAAAATACCAGTTAGTTTCTCAGGTTTTACAAAGAATTTTAAGTCAGATCAAAGTTAATTAATATATTTAATTAATATTAAGCCAAAAAAATTATATTTATGTGTTAAAATGGCACCAAACCAAAACCAAACAAAGAAGAAGAGCAGTTAGAGTAAAATAAAAGGCCATAAAACCTGATTCTATCAAGATTAAAGACCTCAAAAGAATGAAAATCCCCATCGGCTTCTCAGGTTTTACAAAGAATCTTAAGTAGGATTGGGTATAAATCAAAGTTAATTGATAAATTCTATTAAAAGTAAGCCTAAAAAAGGACTTCTGTGTGTTAAAATGGCACCATACCAAAACTAATCAAAGGAAGAAGAGCAGTTAGAGTAAAAAAAAGTCACTAAATTTCCCTAAAACCTGCTTAAATAACGACTTAATAGCATTTCTCTGTGTGTAAAATTAATCTCCTGGTTCAAGAACTTTATTATTTTATCACTTTGTGCCGTAAAGCAGCTAAAATAAAAGGTGAGTGGAGGCTAAATACTCAGCAGCCGTTCCTCCCAAAGCTTTGATGGGACCTTTCTAACGATCTGATTAGATCAAAGCATCAAAGAGACTCATTGGTGTTTGATCTTTTCGGCTGTGAGGAAGCAGAGGTGCTCCCCGGCCACATGTTGGACCCCAGAACAGCCGTAAACATCTGGAAAAAGACCAAAAGCCTCAGGACCCAAAGCACCTGTTGGGTCCTAAACAGAAACACCTGTTCTATCGGGATCAAAGACTTTAAAAAGAAGGAAGATCGCCATCATATGCTCAGGTTTTATCGAGTTCAGGTCAGAAGTGACAGAATTCAGAGACAATTAATGGATTTAATCTATATTTAGCCCCAAAAAAAGGAGTTTTATGAGTTAAAATGGCATTAAGCCAAAATTTTAAAAAGGAAGAAGAGCTGTTAAACAAAAGTCTCTAAAAGTCACTAAAACCTGATTCTATCAGGATTAAAGACCTCAAAAGAATGAAAGTCCCCGTTAGTTTTTCAGGTTTTACAAAGAATTTTAAGTCAGTTAATTCTAATATTTAATTAATATTAAGACAAAAAAAAGGATTGTTATGTTTCAAAATGGCGCCAAACCAAAACTAAACTAAGGAAGAAGAACAGTTGCAGACTGATGTGGTCCTGTTTCCGAAATGGACTGATGTGGTCCTGGTCCTGGTTCTGAACTGGACTGATGTGGTCCTGGTTCCTGGTTCTAAACTGGACTGATGTGGTCCTGGTTCCTGGTTCTGAACTGGACTGATGTGGTCCTGTTTCCTGGTTCCTGGTTCTGAACTGGACTGATGTGGTCCTGTTTCCTGGTTCCTGGTTCTGAACTGGACTGATGTGGTCCTGTTTCCTGGTTCCTGGTTCTGAACTGGACTGATGTGGTCCTGGTTCCTGGTTCCTGGTTCTGAACCTTTTGGGTTCCAGAGAGTCCTGAATACTTCTGGTTCCTGGTTCTCTTAGTTTCTGTAATTTCCCATCCAAAGATCTCCCTCTACTCTGAGTCCAACCGGAGAAAGTTTCCCTCCTAATCCACCTGTAGATTACCCATAATCCCCCTGTGCTCTGCCCCCCCCCCGTTTAGCATCGTGGGCCACAACGAGCCGTACACCAAGCTCTGCTGTAAGGGATTCTGCATCGACATCCTGAAGAAGCTGTCGCGCACCATCAAGTTCTCCTACGACCTTTACCTGGTCACCAACGGGAAGCACGGCAAGCTGGTGCGGGGCATCTGGAACGGGATGATCGGAGAGGTAGGCCGGCCACATATCAGACCAATAATCTTTAACGCGATTTAGGAGCACAAATTGGGATCAAAACGGCAATAAAGAGGGTTAGATGGAGGTTTTAATGCAAGAATCTGGCTGGAAAAGCAGTCTATTAGACGTGGGAAATGTTATTTATTTTGATGCGAACAGCTCACTTTTCACCTCAAATGTGTCCAATTATGAAGAAATTCACATTAACGCAGTAAAAATTTGGTAAAAATAAGAATTTTTCTATTCCAAATACAAAAAATTGACGTTTTATTGCGGAAATTTGGTGGGAAAAACTCACTTTCACCTCAAATGTGTCCAGTTAGGAGGAAATTCGCTTTAACGCAGTAAAAATTTGGTAAAAATAAGTTAAAACAACAAAAAAATTGACATTTTAATGCAAAAATTTAGCGGGAATAGCAGTCTATTCAAAGGGAAATGTTATTTATTTTGATGTGAATAGCTCACTTTTAATCACAAATGAGGAAATTCACATTAACGCTGTAAAAAGAAGGCAAAAATTAGGTAAAAATAAGAATTTCTACTATTCCAACAAAAAAAATGTACCTGGTCACCAACGGGAAGCACGGCAAGCTGGTGCGGGGCATCTGGAACGGGATGATCGGAGAGGTAGGCCGGCCACATATCAGACTAATAATCTTTAGGAGCACAAATGTGGTTGTTTGCACAGGAAAAATGGAGGTTTTAATGCAGAAATTTGGCGGGAAAAGCTCACTTTTCACCTCAAATGTGTCCAGTTATGAGGAAATTCAAATTAACGCAGTAAAAATAAGGTCAAAATAAGGTCAAAATAAGGTCAAAATAAGGTCAAAATAAGGTCAAAATAAATATAAACAGGAGTTTCTACTATTCCAACGACAAAAAAATCGTTTTATCGTTTTAAAGCAGAAATTTGGCGGGAAAAGCTCACTTTTCACCTCAAATTTGTCCAATTAGGAGGAAATTCACGTTAACACAGTAAAAGAAGTTGAAATAAGAATTTTTACTATTCCAAAAACAAAAATGGAGATTTTAATGCAGAAATTTGGCGGGAAAAAGCTCACTTTTCACCTTAAATGTTGGCCGGCGATTTTATTTATTTATTTTTTATTATTTTTGAAAAAGCATATCTGTACTATTTAATTATACATTGTATGTTCATAAGACTTGTTTGTTGCAACTTTTATTTTTAATTTGAATTTTATTTAAAAAAAAATATATATATATTTAACGTGTCTGCACGATTTAGTTATAGTTATATAAAGGAATATAGTTCTTAAAGGAATACGACAATCAGAAATTTACATATATCATGTGATAGCATGCTATGCTAACGTGAGTAATTACAGCCAGATTCTGTCCCCTGACCCCCCCCGACCCCCCCCCCCCAGGTCTTCTACCGGAGGGCGGATATGGCCATCGGGTCGCTGACCATCAACGAGGAGCGCTCGGAGATCATCGACTTCTCGGTGCCCTTCGTGGAGACGGGCATCAGCGTGATGGTCGCCCGTAGCAACGGCACCGTCTCCCCCTCCGCCTTCCTGGGTGAGAGGGGTTCCCAACGCGGGGGGCGGGGCCCCCGGGGGGGTCGCCGGCCAGAGGGTCGGGGGTCGCAAGTTGGTTTACAGAAATAGACAAAAAAATTCAAAACTTTTAGAAATACCGTGTGTTATCCATGATTGTAACAAGAAAAAGCAAATGGCTAAATTGAAAATTTCTAAGTTTCTAAGTTCTAAGACGCCGGCTGAATTTTGGTTTCAGCTCAGAGTGAACAGCCACAGCTTTGAATATTGCACATTTTAGTGTAAAATACTGTGAATACTGCACATTTTAGTGTAAAAAGCTGTACATAATGCACATGTTAGTGTAAATAGTTGTATAAATTGCACATTATAGGGTAAAAACTGTAAATACTGCACATTTTTGTGTAAAAACAGTCAATATTGCACATTATAGGGTAAACACTGTTTTCTGGGTGAGAGGGGTTCCCAACACGGGGGGCGGGGACCCCCGGGGGGGCCGCGGGCCAGAGGGCGGGGGTCGCAAGTTGGTTTCCAGAAAATTTAAAAACTAAAAAATAGCATGTGTTAGCCATGATGGTAACAAGATAAAAACTAGTGGCTAAATTTGAAATAAAACCATGCAAATAAATAAAAAGGGAAATGAACCCTGAAGATGGCGGCTGAGTTTTGGTTTCAGCTCAGAGGGAACAGCCACAGCTTTGAATATTGCACATTTTAGTGTAAAAAACTGTAAATACTGCACATTATTGGGAAAAAACAATAATAAATAATGCACACGTTAGTGTAAAAAAGCTGTAAATATTGCAAATCATAGGGTAAAAACTGTAAATACTGCACATTTTTGTATAAAAACAGTCAATATTGCACATTATAGGGTAAACACTGTTTTCTGGGTGAGAGGGGTTCCCAACACGGGAGGCGGGGCCTTTGGTGTCTTTATTGTTGTTTTGGGTGTTTTTATTGATGTTTGTTGCTACTTTATGTTATCCTTTTTGGTATTTTTAGGGTTGTAGTGCGTTTTTCTAATAGTATCTTTGGTGTTTTAGCACCGTTTCTGGGTCGTTTAAGCTCTATTTTTGTCCCTTTTCCCTGCAGAGCCCTACAGCCCGGCGGTCTGGGTGATGATGTTCGTTATGTGTCTGACTGTGGTGGCCATCACCGTGTTCGTGTTCGAATACTGCAGCCCGGTTGGCTACAACCGCAGCCTGGTCACCGCCAAAGGTCAGTCCAACCGGCCAATCAGAGGGCAGATTACTGGCGTCTCACTTTACAGAACAGTGTCCCAGTCTGGTGTTTGATAGGAGGCATGTGGTGTCCTAAAAAACCCTAAATTCACTCATTTAGGATTATATATCATATTATCTATGACATATTCATATATATATGATGTATTACATAATTACAATAATACAACAATATATTACAACAATAATAATATAACATAATTTAGGACTGCAATGCTACATTATTTTGTTTTTAAATGCATTCATTTGCTCCAAAAAGAGTCATTTGCTGTTTAAATAAACCGGCCAATAAACCGGCCAATCAGAAGGCAGATTACTGGCATCTCACTTTACGGCACAGTGTCCCAGTCTGGTGTTTGATAGGAGGCATTTGGTGTCCTAAAAAACCCTAAATTCACTCATTTAGGCTTATATATCATATTATATATGACATATTAATATATATGATGTATTACATAATTACAATAATACAACAATACAACAATATATTAAAACAATAATAATATAACATAATTTAGGACTGCAGTGCTACATGATTTTGTTTTTAAATGCATTCATTTGCTCCAAAAAGAGTGATTTGCTGTCTAAATAAACCGGCCAATAAACCGGCCAATCAGAAGGCAGATTACTGGCGTCTCACTTTACGGCACAGTGTCCCAGTCTGTCGTTTGATAGGAGCCATGTGGTGTCTTAAAAAACCCTAAATTCACTCATTTAGGATTATATATCATATTATATATGACATATTAATATATATGATGTATTATTTAATTACAATAATACAATAATACGACAATATATTACAACAATAATAATATAATGTAATTTAGGACTGCAGTGCTACATTATTTTGTTTTTAAATGCATTCATTTGCTCCAAAAAGAGTCATTTGCTGTCTAAATAAACCGGCCAATAAACCGGCCAATCAGAAGGCAGATTACTGGCATCCCACTTTACGGCACAGTGTCCAAGTCTGGTGTTTGATAGGAGGCATGTGGTGTCTTAAAAAACCCTAAATTCACTCATTTAGGATTATATATCATATTATATATGACATATATATGATGTATTATATAATTACAATAATACAACAATACAACAGTATATTACAACAATAATAATGTAATATAATTTAGGACTGCAATGCTACATGTTTTTGTTTTTAAATGCATTCATTTGCTCCAAAAAGAGTAATTTGCTGTTTAAATAAACCGGCCAATATACCGGCCAATCAGAAGGCAGATTACTGGCGTCTCACTTTACGGCACAGTGTCCCAGTCTGTAGTTTGATAGGAGCCATGTGGTGTCTTAAAAAACCCTAAATGAACTCATTTAGGATTATATATCATATTATATGTGACATATCAATATATATGATGTATTACAATAATACAACAATACAACAATATATTACAACAATAATAATATAATTTAGGACTGCAGTGCTACATGTTTTTGTTTTTAAATGCATTCATTTGCTCCAAAAAGAGTCATTTGCTGTTTAAATAAATGTGAAATAAACTAATTAAACTGTCGTAAGAATAAAAATTGGTGTTATTACAAATGTTCAATATATATTGTATTAAACTATTCATTATTATTAGATAGATAGATAGATTTGAATGGATGGATGGATGGATGGATGGATGGATGGATGGATGGATGGATGGATGGATGGATGGATGGATGGATGTTTGATAAATGAAAGGATGGATGGATGGATGTTTGAATAAATGGATGGATGGATGGATGGATGGATGGATGGATGGCTGTTTGAATAGATGGATGGATGGATGGATGGATAGATGGATAGATAGATGGATGGATGGATGGATGGATGGATGGATGTTTGAATAGATGGATGGATGGATGGATGGATGGATAGATAGATGGATGGATGGATGGATGTTTGAATAAATGGATGGATGGATGGATAGGTGTTTAAATGAATGGATGGATGGATAGATAGATGGATGTTTAAATAAATGGATGGATGGATGTTTAAATAAATGGATGGATGGATGGATGGATGGATGGATGGATGGATGGATGGATGGATGGATGGATGTTTAAATGAATGGATGGATGGATGGATGGATGTTTAAATGGATGGATGGATGGATGGATTTTTTAATGAATGGATGGATTTATGGTTGGATGAATAGATAGATAGATAGATAGATAGATAGATAGATAGATAGATAGATAGATAGATAGATAGATAGATAGATAGATAGATAGATAGATAGATAGATCTAATGGCCCTTTCGGGTGTTTTATAGCAGATCGATGCTCTCAGATTGGGACTCTACAGATTCATTTCGGAGCCGTTTGTTCCTCATAATGAAAAAAAGATCAAAGAGGTCCCATAATTGCTCGTCTATTGATCTCTGTGACATCAGACTTTCTTTTTTGGCACCTCTCCTCGAAAAATGGTCTCGAGTAGGTTTGGTTTCATCTGGTGAGCTTCTTTAACCCTTTAAATCCTGATCCAAGAAAAATAGGAAGAATATTGGATTTTTTTAGTCTGAAGTCTTTCTTTGGCCCTTCAACAACATATGAAGAAAAAAAACTGAAATGATTTTGATCAAATTAGCGTGCAATAAGTCAAAAATATATTTTAATGTAGTCTTCTACACACTGTTGTCAGGTATATCTGAAAATATAGTAATATAGTAACATATTAATATCTGAAAAATAGGAAGAATATTGGATTTTTTTAGTCTGAAGTCTTTCTTTGGCCCCTCAACAACATATGAAGAAACTTTTTATGCAAAATACGAGGCTCACAGTTGGCGGGGTAGTAAAAAAAATGAGCTAAAAAGGGTATATAGGGATGTATTTAGGGATGTTTTCCTTTCAGGAGTTTGAGGAAAAGTGAATTCTGTCGATTTTCTTACATGCAGTTAATGAGAAAATATCTATGGAGGGAAAATGGAGTCGAAATTCTCCACTCTGTGTCTGACCTTTTGATCCAAACACGTAAAATGACCGCAAACATGAACATTTTCCCCAGTTTTTTTCTACCTCCAGCCTCAAAATAGAAACATAAAATGCAGTTTTGCCTCCACCAGACAGGGACCGGCTCACTAAAAGGAGAGAAACTCACCGTTATCTGACTTAATAAGATAATTATAGGAGGAAATGGACTCATTTTAGCTCCATATCTGTGTTTAATCCACTCTGTGTCTGAACTTTTGATCCGAACACATCAAGTAAACACTAAAATGAACATTTTGCTCAGATTTTCTTTACCTCCAGCCTCACAGATGTGATCACTTTCTGTTCAAAAATGCTCCTTAGATGCCAGTTTATTAGATTTTGAGACTCTTTTCAGCACCCAACTCAGTTTCATTCTATGTGGTGCATTCAGGTGCAGGAGGAAAGCTGGGAAATCTGTGCTTTCACCCTGTATTATCTGAACTCTGACAGAGTACAATCACATTTCAGTGCCTTTTTGGCCTCTTTGGCTCCGATTGGCTGTTTTCCCAGATAAAGAACCAGTCCTCTACCCAGCGTTCGCTCATTTAAACTGTTAATTCAGGCCTCTGTTTCCACATAAAAAGCATTCCCTGATTTCCCAGCTTTAATCCCGCCTTTGAATGCACCATATGAATAAAACTCTGATGAGTAAGATGCTGAAAAGAGTCCCAAAATCCATCAAAAACCAGTATTAAACGGCTCTTTCTTACCAGGAAGTGGTCTGTTGTGGAACTTTTATTGTAAAGCAAAAGTCTGAGTCCATCTGAGGAAGTAAGAAATACAAAATGTATTAAAAGGGAAAACCGAGCTGCTCTAAAGTAAAACAAATCATGGTGCGTTTTATAGCCTCTGAGTCTGGAATAAGACGTAAAGTCCGTCCTTCATTCTGAAATGAGACGTAATGTCTGCCCTTCATCCTGCATCTGTATTCAAATTAAACAATCCTCCAGACAAAAGATTGATAGACTAAATATATGGAGACCTTCTCTGAGACCTTGAAGGAGGAGAGAACCTTTAAAATCTTCAATTGTGGAAATTTACCAGAGAGTAGGGTTGTCCTGATACTAAAATGTTAAACTGGATATCAATACAGTACTCAGGAAAATATTCTATATTTAAGAAAAAATTTAAAATGTATCAATTTTGACAGGTTAGTGTCTTTCGTTTCAAACTGACCTGTTACTGATTTCATTAATGAGCCTAAAACTAACCCTAACCCTAACCCTAACCCTAACCCTCCACCCTTCATAATTCTGAGAAATAGATATTTTTTGGTTAAACTTGTTTGGACTTATTGTACAAACCTATTTAACATCCACTATTGTAACATAATATTATGGATAGAGTTTAATTCATTGTTTGCAAGATTCATTTTACTATTTTTAAATTAATGTCTATATTGCCATGAAGCAATTAGGATTTTCTTGCCTTGGATCTTCCTATTGGTGACCTAATCAAAATGGCCGACTTGGATGTGGGGCAGTTGGATCTCCATCCTTGGCTTCCTGCAGACTTGATTAATGTTGGCATGTTGTTATTAGCGATTAGCCGCAGCTAGCAATTCAAGGCTAACGTCATGCTAATGATCATAAACAACGTAAATAAATAAATCAGAGAGAAGGGTGGTGTCAATACTTTTGAAAATGAGTATCGTATCCGGATACAACAATTTAGTATCTATACTTTTTTGAGTCTCGATACTTTTGAGAAACCCTCCCAGATAGAAATTAACCCTTTAAAGCTTGATCCAAGAAAAATAGGAAGAATTTTGGATTTTTTTTGTCTGAAGTCTTTCTTTGGCCCCTCAAGAACATATGAAGAAAAAAAAACAGAAATTATTTTGATCAAATTAGCGTGCAATAAGTCAAAAATATATGTTGGTGTAGTCTTCTACTGGCTGTTATCAGGTATATCTGAATGTGTACAACAGGGGTTTGAGCAAAGCTTTTACCACTGAATGATGCAGAAAGTCTCACATCCAAAAGACTTCAGAAACCGTATGAATCAAATATGATACATTTGGCATTAGAGGGTTAAGAAAGTGATTGTACATATATTGATTTCCCTTACAGATCACATCTGAGAGGCTGGAGGTAAAAAAAAAAATCTGTGGAAAATGGTCATGATTGTGTTTGTCATTGTCTGGATAAAAAGAAAGTGGAGTCCTGTCAAGAGGGTGAATCTTGAGGGAGGACTCAGTCGCAGAGATATGGAAACAAGGGTTTATTTGAACAAAAACACACTCAAAAGGAGGGGATGGTAGACATGGGACAAAACAAGGCTGTGAAAAAACTATGAACAAAGTAACAAAGCAAGGTTAACAAAACTGTGGCAAAGTATCAAAACAAGACTATGGCAAAGGTACAAACAAGATTAACATGGCTGTGGTCAAAACAAGGCTATGGCAAGGCTGTGACAAAAATAAGACTATGGTACGAAAAGCTAGACTGTGGCAAAATATCAAGGAGTAAACAAGGCTATGGCAAAATAACAATGTCAATGTCAATGTCAAATTTATTTATATAGCACTTTAAAACAGGCATAGAACTGCACCAAGAGTGACAACAACACAAATGAATAAAAACAAAGTATCAAACACTAGTTCAATTAAATGCCAAGGAAAAAAAATGAGTTTTAAGAAGCAATTTGAAATGATCCAGGCTGTGGGCAGATCTAATTTGGAAAGGTAGATTGTTCCATAGAGAAGGAGCAACAGCAGAAAAAGCCCCATCTCCTTTCCTCTTTAATCGGGTCCGGGGAACTGTCAGTAAAAGCTGATTATTAGAACGTAGGGTTCTGGACACGGACTGAAATTTTAAAAGTTCCAGAAGATACGGGGGAGCTAATCCGTTTAAAGCTTTATAAGTTAATAAAAGAATCTTAAAATCTGTTCGATAAAGAACAGGCAGCCAATGTAAAGAGACCAGTATAGGCCTTATATGGTCACGCTTCCTGGTTCCTGTAAGAAACCGAGCCGCTGCGTTCTGGATCATTTGAAGTCGCTGCATCTGTGATTTATCCAGATTAACAAAATAAAGATTAACAAAACTGTGGCAAGGCTGTGGCAAAACATGGCTATGGCAAATAATCAAACCCTTACATGACGTGGGGAGACGAAAGACGAAAGACGCAAACGCACTGGTACAGGACAGGGGAAATGAGGACTATTTAAACACATGAGGGAGGGGAACCCCAGGTGTACACAATAGGTCAGTGTTTTTCAACCACTGTGCCTCGGTACACTAGTGTGCCGCGAGTGATGGTCAGGTGTAGAAAATCATCCTATTTCACCTAATTGGTCTAAAAAATATTTTTGATAAGGAATTAATTTTCTGCAAATAATATGCCATTTTTGAATGTCTGTGCTGTTCTAGTGACTGGTGGCGTAATCATGTAATAATTCCTTATGACTAGATTTTGTATATAATGTAGCATATTGACATGTTAAGTGCAATTTGAAAGAAGAAATATAAAATATGATAAAAATAAATGTTTGTGTTTATTTGATTCCTATTCATGACACTTAAGGTAAGATAAGAATATGATAAGAATAACTATAGTGTTCCTATAGGCGGCTACAGATTTGTTTGACATTTTTGGTTGGTGGTGTGCCTCGAGATTTTTTCAATGAAAAACTGTACCTTGGCTCAAAAAAGGTTGAAAAACACTGCAATAGGTATCAAGACATGACGAGACACCAGACATTCTCCTGTTTTAGGAATCTCTTGCTTTTTTCCCCTTCCCTATCCCCCGGTCATGGTTGGCATTAGCCATATTACTTATGTAACAAAAATAAATCCTAAAAATATAATAAAGCAGTATGGGATGATCAAGGGAGGGTTCTCACCCTGACAGGCCTCCCTTGGCAAAGCAAAAGTGTCGGGCACAGCACGGCACTCAGATTACAATTCTGTTGCTATAATGCCAAACACGACAAGGGGGAAAAAAAAAAAAAAAAAAAAAAA